GACTGGACCGACGACGGATTCAGCCTGTGCTTCGGTGTCAACCACCTGGGCCACTTCCTCCTGACCAACCTGCTCCTGGCCCGGCTGAAGGAGTGCGCCCCCAGCCGGGTGGTCACGCTCACCTGCTCCAGCTACAAGTACCAGAAGCTCGACTTCCAGGACCTCAACTACAACCTGCTGCCCTTCTTCACCTACTGCCGCAGTAAGCTGGCCAACATCTACTTCAGCCAGGAGCTGGCCCGCCTCACGGAAGGGAAGGGGGTGACCACCTACGCCGTGCACCCTGGTGAGAGCCTTTCATTCCCACTTGCTTTCAGCTCGTGTGCGCTGACCGCTAACTGCCGTAGTGCCCACTTTCGAGTGTTAGTATTGTCCCAAAAGGAACACTTAAGTGTTAAAACACTTACCCGGGGATAGCGTGACCAACGCGACACACGTGAACGCCAGAAACATATGCCAGCATTTGTTTAAAAACATTTTTTTTACCGCTCAGTTCCTGTCATGGGTGTCTTGTCACGTTTCCTGTTTTGTTTTGTAGTCCTTCCTGTTTGGCCCCAGTCTTGCTTTCTGTTGATTCCCTGACTCCTCCCTAATCACCTCCACCTGTGTTTTCCTCCCTCCATCCATCCATCCATCCATCCATTATCAATACCGCTTGTTCCCATATGGGGTCGCGGGGGGAACTGGAGGCTTTTTGAGTTTTCTTCAGCTGTACGCATCCAGAATGAATCCAGAATGTATGACATTTCATGTTTTTTAATTGCATTACAGAAAATAAAGACCTTTATCACAATATTCTAATTTTCTGAAACAGTCCTGTATTTGCATTTTTGTCACAATACTTATTAAAACTCGCCGTCGTCCCTGGTCCCTCTCCTTCCACGTTGTAGTCAAGATGGCGTCCGTTTAGTGCGAGTAGTGTCCATCACTCCACACTGAATTTTTTACCGTTTTTAGGGGGTCATGCGGGTACTTTCAGTGCACTGACTTTTGTGTTATCTACACTAAATACTTAAAACTAAGTGTTTGAAGTGTGCGAGTGGGCGGGATGAGACTCAGCCTGTGTTCCTCCTCGGCTAATCCCAGTTTGGTTCTGACCCTGCTCCCTCTCTCTGCAGGGTTTGTGCAGAGCGGGTGGACGTGCCACTTCTCCTTCCTGTTCCGGGTGCTGATGCGGGCGGTCATCTGGATGCTCTTCGTGCCGTGCGCGGCCGGAGCCCAGACCGTGGTGTACTGCGCCGTGTCGGACGAAGCCGCCCAGCACAGCGGGGGTTACTTCGTGGACTGCCGACCCACCGCCCTCCGGCCCTTTGCGCGGGACGCCGGCGTGGCCAAAAAGCTGTGGGAGGCCAGCGAGAGACTGGTGAAGCTGGCCTAACGCCGGCGTCCAGTTTTCCTAACGCCTATCTATGAATTCTGTGTTCTGTTTTCATTACATCTTGTGTCAAATAAAAGTGGAATATTTCATCAATGAGCTCGTGTATTGGAGCAAATACTTCCTTTACGTGGTGTAACTTTATTTAATGGTTTTGTCGTCCATTCCTTAAACGCTTTTTCTGTTTTCATGGTGAAATGATGACAAACAGAGACACACAAGGACCAACAACCACACACACTCACACTAAGGGCAGTTTGGAGTGTCCAACCAACCTAACATGCAGGTTTTGGACAGTGGGAGAAAGCCACTGTCCTTAGTCCAATAGTGGTGTAACTTTTTTATTTGAATGGTTTTGTTATTTTTTGTCCATTCCCAAATAAAACGCTTTTTCTGTTTTCATGGTGAAATGTTTTTTGTTTTTTTTTTAAATTAGAGCTTATATAATGTGGTTTGTACATCCAAAGAAAATCTTTCTGTGATCAAGTTATCTATTTTCAGTTTAACATTTAAACAAAAATCCAACAATAGTCTACCTACCAGTGCTCACCTTCTTCTCCATTTTGTTCTCATTCTGCCCCAAAAATGTCTCTTCTAATCTCAAACTTAGCTGTGTTCTTTTTCCTGGCATTTAACTTTGATAAACCTGTTTGCCTTTTCAGCTTGTTGGCAACTTTCTTGTGAATTTCTTGTGAGTTACCTTTGTAACATCGCAGTTATCAAACCTGCACTGAAAATGTTCCAGTGTGTTAACAGGAAAAGTCTCAGTAGATAAACAGTTGGTCCACAGCTCCTGCACAATTTTTTCTGGACACAATATGTAGTGGCAATTGTTTGTTAAACCAAACATCCAATAAATGTTCCTCAAGCCACTAAGAGGCACTGGGGTCCAGTTTCTGTACGCAGGCAAAAGATTTCACATCCAAACTTGTTGATTATTCTTGAAGGTTTATTGGTTCTTTCTAGCAACAATTACAGAGTTCAAACTTTCCTTGGTTCTCATTCTGTTCTCTTGCTCTGGCTCTTGCTCTGTCTCTTGCTCTGGTAAAAACCATAGGCCCCCAAACCCAAATGCCTTGCTGGTCCTTTACCAGGCCCCTATACTTATAGGAAAGTGGACTGACCCACATGACCCACTTCCTGTCTAACTCAAAGAATGAATAAGAAAAATAATAAAACAAGAAATTACATAGAATCAACAATTATTCACCTGCAAAATAAATACTGTAAATAATACAAAATATATACATTTAAGAATTAACTAACAAAATTCAAATGAATAAAGAAATAAAGAATAAATAGCTCCAACACAATAGAAATTTAATCTGTCAAACTCCATGCTCACCAAAACAGAGAGAGGTTCACAGCCTCAGAGAAACTGGGAGCCGCACCTAACATAAATTCCTCCTACACTTCTCCCACAGTCAGATAGAGAGAGACACAGCCAACAACCAGGTACAGGTAATTCAGGTATCTGAGCTCCTCCCCTTATGCAGGAAATAAACTGAAATGTTCAGAATCTCTGTCCTTGAAGCAGAAAGTACTCGACAGAAGTGCGATCCAAAGACGGAAAAGGTGAACCGTAAGTCGATACGAGCATATTTTCACTGTTTACTCTTTTTGGTTTTTAATCAAAGTTAGTGAAAATGGCTGAGAAAGTTAAACTTTTCGAGAATTATTTGCGCTGCCATGTGTGTTCAGAGACTTTTGTTGATCCAGTGTCTCTGAGCTGCAGCCACAGCTTCTGTTCAAGCTGCCT